CCCCAAAACCCCAAAACCCCAAAACCCCAAAAGACAAAATAGTTAAATTATTAAAGGATAAATTATTCTAAAAATCAATCAATCAAAAATCAGCCTTCTTTTTAAGGTAACTCTTGATGATATGCTCTTCATTATCCTATAACTCATTGTTAGAAGAATTGCCTGAATTTAAAAATCCATCGCTATCTTCATTTTCAGATTATGAATCGTTATATTAGGCCACAAGCATTCCACTTCCAGCTCTTAAAATTCCACTATTATTCTGGGGTTTATTCATATACTGATTGGGCCTTGACCTGTTATTGACAATCATTTAAGTTCCATTTCTTCTTAATTATTCATTATTTTATATAGCCCCATAAAGTAAGTTTCCACTGTTATTTTAGGTATCAAGTTTTCTTAATTCAACAAATGACTTATTTCTTGATGCTTTAAGAGAGCTATTCATCAATGTCTCTAGAAGATGGACAACATTATCAGTCTCATTAAGGAAGTATTTAGCCTGAGTGACTTTTCTACCAATAGTACAAGTATAAACACTAGCATTCTAAAAAGAGATTAAATCAAAATAATCAATAATACTCCATTCAAAAGCCTAGAGCTTTAAGATTTTTTGTTATTAAGATAGGTAAACACAGGTTCATTTCCAATATCATCACCAATATAAAGAACAAAATCAAGATTGTACTTTTTCCCAAGAGTTTAAAGCAATAGCTTGACTAATTTCACCTATAATAAATGTTATAAATTATATGATGAATATTACCTTTTTCAATTAGCTAGGGACTACTTCCAAACACTTTTTGCCATGTAAAATTTCAATGGGTAGATTGCAAAATACATGCTCAAGATGAGAAGTTAACTCTTTAGCTTACCAATTTCCAAATTCAGGATCTGTGTCTTTGTAATTCCAAATAATCATTGCTTCTTTTTCTTCAATAAAAGCTCCGTCTGTTTTCTCTGTATAACTCTACATAATGTCTCTTACAGATTCTATCCAGCAGCTATTTTTATTAAAGATTAATTATCTTACAGATCAATAACCTTTGGAAGCAACTTAACCCAGGTGTGTTCATCTTTATTTTGACTCTCCATTCTCCAAAAGAATCCATTTTCAGCAGCAAGGCCTATCTTTGGAGCTTTTTAGGCATACCACTTATGCATTTAACCCTTCATTTCAGAGCTTATAACAAATATTAAGTTATTTTCGTCTTATGACAACTAATTTAGAATCTCTACGACATTAGGAACAGGTTCCTTAAGTAATTTATTCGAATGATTTCTCATCGGTAAAACCCCTTCTTAATCAATGACAATCAATCTCTGGATACCTCTTGCATAGTTTTATTCTACCTCTTTCTCCTGTAATTCAGTAAAACCTTGTCTTGTTTTAATAATAGTCTAATTTAAGCCAAATCCTATAATCATATAGTTGCTGACATTTTCTCCAACTGATAAATGAGATCTTTTTAAATCTTTCACAAAAGATTCAGCCCATTTGAGAGTAGAGTGTTTTGAAATATAATTATAGGCTAGCTTAAATCTTTACTCCTTCTCCTCGGAGGGCATTTAAATTGCTAGCTCTATGTTTCTAGCTATTTCATCAACATTGAATGGATTGACAAAAGTTTAACATTTTGATTGATGAGTAACTTTCAAATTTCCTCCTAAAGCTCTGTTACACCCAGAGAACTCTGACAATATCACTGCTGCTTATTTACTTTTATTCTAATGTTTCTTGACTGTTATAAATTCAAGTGGTGGAAGGCATTATCCATCTCTTAAGGTAGTGATTAATAGAATGTTTGTGACACTCCATAATGCCATTCTACATTCCATAGACAAATCCTACTCAACGTAATGAAGACTTGATTACCCGAATTCGTCTTGAATTTACTTAACTAGATCTATTAATTCTGATCTAGTTTAGTTTATTATTTGATGAGAACATGTTAATAGCTAGCATTTTGGACAATCTGAGGGGATTACATACTGAATGAGCTAGATAGCATTTTTTTGGGATGAGTAATCTCTTAAAAATTTCTAATAGGCCAAAAGCTTGTTCTTAAGTCCACTAATTGGATGGAATCTATCAATACTTGATAGGATAAATTTCTTCTTCTATATGATATTAGTATTTAGAAACTTTATAAAATTCTTGCATTCATCAGAATCCATCATTTCAACAATGTCTTCTTCCATGATTCCAATATGAGATATTCTCAGCATCACTGATCTACCGAAACTCTCAATAGCTAGGAATCCTCCCTTTTTAAATTCATGATTTAATCCTAAAATACGCCTGCAAGAGGTATAAAAATTTCTAGCATACTCGAATTAGTGGAAACCGATGAGACTACAAGAAAGTAAAGATTTGAGGACCTCGCCTCTGTAGGGAAACATTTTGTAAATATCAGATGACGGGAAAGGGCAGTGCATTGAGAAACCAATGTTTGCTCCAATATCTTTTCTAATAACATAAGTAGGTACAAGCAGAAGATAATTGTCGTGTACCCAAATCATTTCTTTCTCTTGTTTAAGTTCTCTGATAATACTAGCAAACTTTGAATTAACTAGTTAATATTTTTGCCAATGCTCATGTTTTCCAAGATATTCAAAGTCATTTAATCCCTTGAAATTATGGAATAAAGGCCTAAGCACTGTTTCGTGATAATATAGGTATTATTCTATAGTTTCAGAATCAAAGAATGCAGGGACGCAGCCATACTCTTTTAAGAGCTCAGTAATCTGATTGATTTCTTCTGGAGATTCAGGTACAACTCCTGGCCAGCCTATCCATTATATCTTGACCATATTTTTCTTTTCTCTAAGCTTGAACATTGTCGGATAAAGCAATGACCTTGAATTTCTGACTTTCCAACCTTTTGGTGAAGTTGGATCTCTATCTAGACTTATCGGTAATTTGAAACTAGCCACGATTACCATATCATCTGGTGTGATTTTTATGTCTTGGAACAGATTTCTATCTTCATCTTGCATTGTATCATCCTCATCTTAATCATCCAAACCATCTTCATCAGATGAAATCAACCCACTCCCTTATTTTGTTGGATTGTACTTGTGCTAGACTTATTCCTCTTCTATTGAACCAAGATTCTATAACCCCAATGTTTAGTTAAATGAGAGTTAGTCAGGATCATCCTCAAACGAGATCAAATTATGAATGTACTGCTTTTGAATTGTGTTACCAAGGTTTTTAATTCTCATAGACTCTATTCTAGATTGCTGAACATCTTCTAAGGATCTCATGATCTTTTCTTCCTCGCAGAGATTATCTACATCTACTGCTTAGCTGCTGATTTTTCTTCTGAAAGCAGCAAGTTCTTCAGGCACCTATCTATCATCGTATGTTTTTTCAATAGTTCCTTGTAAATGGCGAATCAAATCATCCTATTCTTACTCAGTAAGAGTACTGGATCTTACAACGAATCCAGGCTTTTAAGATGAGTTTTGCTTCTTCTGTTGTTTGATCTGATTGTACTACTCAGCCACATTTTTGTGCTCTCTAACTTTTTTAACTATTTTCTATCCATAACCTGGAGATAAAGCTGATAAGTCTGAAGATCCAAAGTCAGCTGAGATCTTATCTCCATTAGGACTACTCTCATAATTTCTTAAAGGCTGATATTAAGTCAACTCCTCTCTTAAATGATTTGGCTTTCCAAATACATCCTCAATTATTATTTCTTTATTGTTGCTAAGATCGATGATTCTGTTTCCCTAGATCGGCTCCCATTATTTAGCTAAATTGCTTGTTTATATCATAATCACGTATTTATATTCTAGCAGATTCTTCTTTTACAAGTTAAATGGATCAATTTAAACATGCCCTCTCCAGAAAGGGAAATCATCTGGGGTTGTTGTGAGAATCACAGAATTAGCTGGACTCCAGTTACCTAGCTCTGTAGAAGACCCTGTAACTTTGATAATGTCTCCAATCTATGTATCTCTGCATGAGACAACAAACTTAATCATGATTCTATGCCTGAATCCTCCTTTTTCTGCGGTATTGTGTGAACTTAAATTATACCCAAAGTATTCTTGTTCATTGCTAAAATATTTTACATGAATGTTTGTTTTACCCATAATTGATATTACTCATCTTTGATTCTCCAACTTATTATTAACAAAATATTATTAAAATTGAGCTTAATGAAAAAAACTTAAACTAATTTATTATTGAATAAAATAAATCTAATGCTAATCCTCCTTGCGGGGTTTTGGGGTTTTGGGGTTTTGGGG